TAGAAACATCAATGATGAGAGGGTCATTGATCAGCTGCCTCCTGCACGCCCCCGACTGGCGATCGAGCCCGCAACCCGGGAATGTGCTCTGACTGGAAATCGAACCCTGATCACCTGGATCCTAGGTTGACTCTCAACCGCTGAGCCACACCCGACTGGGCCAAACATTTTTAATGTAAATTTAGGGGGGTGAGCTTGAAGTTGTAACTTCATTAATCTTTACTAGGCTATTACTCAAGTAATACAAGTTATTATAAAATATATTTAGACAATTTAGACAGTAGTATTTTAGAATTCTTTCTTGGTCCCTCTTAAAACACTAGGGAGGGGACCGTAAACCTGGTGTTAATGCAGAACAAGGTATAGGCATGGTCAGTATTTGACCTTAGCAGTCATAGTTATTTGCAAAAATACCTGATCATCTCCATTATTTAAGTCATTAAGAATATGATATGTAATCCCTTTTCTATAAAAAAAGAATTTTAAGATAAATTATTAAGCAGGGAACTGAAAACACTACTCTGATTCCCAGAGACAGCCCTTTTCCATAGCAGTGCCCTGTCGTTTGCTGGTTGCAGGTTTCCTTGCTCCCATGCTCACTGCACCCTCTCTGTTTCAGTGACTTAGCCTTGCGGAATTGTTTCCTTACCTCGGACTTAAACGTGAAAGTGGGAGACTACGGAACAGGGTTCAGCAGGTACAAGGTAAGCCAGAGGTTTCCGGGTTCTCTTCTTGGTCCGAGTTAATCTCATAGTCCCAAGGTGGTAATAGCACAGAACGCCACTCCATTTTTGGAAGATGGGTAAGAATCTTGTGTTGCCTTTTTGGAGAGGGGTGGGTTCTAGTCATTTTAGTGGGAGTGTTGGCGTCTGATGAGTGGTTTTTCTAAATCAGTGGCTTTGTACCCGAGGTTTGGTGATGGCTTCCCTGATACTTAGTTCAAAAAGACTTACACTGTGATTGATAGGGCTTGATGCTGTGTAATAAATGCTAGCGTGCACGTGGCAGTATAGGTATTACCACTTGTATCATAAAATATATAGGTCACGTAAATATTTCTCCCTTACGTATTCAATAAAATTTTGGTTCATATTCAGTAAGCTTGGGATTTAGGTTTTTAAACTCTGCCACAAATACGTCCCCAAAGAAAATAAAAAGATGAGGTTTCTATCTGTGTGAGTGCGTAGCCCAGCTGAAGGAGGCAGCCTGCTGTGGGCAGAGAGGCAGCTGGCTGGCTCCACGCTGCCGGGAGACCTTGGATAAGCCACTCTGCCTCTTTTTTTTAAGCAGCAACATGAGGATAATATTGGTGCTGTGTTATGGGGTTTGTGTGACTCGCAGTACTTTGTAACTAAAAAATATTATGCAAATATAAGTTGGCCATTTGTTTACGTAGTAGCTCTAGTGTCTTGAGCACTTGCTGTATACCAGGCACTGAGGCACTGGCCTGCATTACCTCACTTAATCCTCACCGCGAAGGGTGGGAGGTGTTGCATCACCTCATTGCACAGGTAAGGAAATAGGCCCGGGGTGTTTGTTCCCTGCCAGGCTCACAGAGCTGGTAAATGGTTGAACGTGGACTTACAACCCCATCTGTCAGATTCTGAAGCCTGCACCCTTATTAACTGGCACCGCTCCCCTATTCGGGGCATAAAGCCCAGCTACTTTGCTCAGAGTCTGTGTCCTGTGCATCAAATGCAGCGTGCCTTCCTTTTCCAGGAAGGATGACTGAGCAAGTGTTTGTGCTCAGAGACCAGCTCACGAAGCCGAGGCAGCTTCGGAGAAACCCTCACTCACCTTCTGCCCAGAAAGTCTCTCTTCTTGCCCACTTTATTTTGGTTTAGTATGTTTTCTGAGAATGACCTGGAATTAAATCATTGAGCTCATTAAAAGTATGATAGAATTCAAGATTCTGTGTGCTTTCTGACAAAACAGGAGGATTATGTTGAAACAGATGACAAAAAAGCATTCCCTCTGCGGTGGACTGCTCCAGAACTAGTGACCAGCTTTCAGGACAGACTACTAACTGCAGATCCAACTAAGTACAGTAACATTTGGTATGTATTGACTTACCATTCCACTAGGCTTTTGTGCAGCAAAGTCCTAACTCTTTCCTAGAGTACTTCCTTTAAGGAAAGTAGCTGAGCAAGATGTAGGGACACAAGAGTGCCTGATGGTGTGGAAAAGATGGTGTATTGACATGGCAGTAGTCACAATTGCAGTGACATAATTAACTTTTTGAATCCTGCCTCTCTTACCCATTCAACAATAATAATCTCCACAAAAGTGGGATCCAAGTCTTTTTTCTGGGCCTACCACAGAGCCTGGCATATATGTTTAATAAGTATTTGTTGAAGTGAATGAAAACACAGAAGGGGGTTTGGACTGTTGTGTAATACTGTGATTTGTAGGAGGTCAGTTAAATGGAAGTTGAAAAAAATGTGTGTGAGTCTTTGACTAACAATTTCTATTACAGCTTTCTTAATTTATATCTGTTTTTGTGCGCTATTGTCCTGCTTTTTTTTTCTTTTTTAAATATATCTTTATTGATTTCAGAGAGAGGAAGGGAGGGGGGAGAGAGAGATAGAAACATCAATGATGAGAGAGTCATTGATCGGCTGCAGCCCGCAACCTGGGCACCTGTCNATTTCAGAGAGAGGAAGGGAGGGGGGAGAGAGAGATAGAAACATCAGTGATGAGAGAGTCATTGATCGGCTGCAGCCCGCAACCTGGGCACCTGTCCTGACCAGGAATCGAACCCCCATGTCCTGGATCCTAGGTCGACGCTCAGCCACTGAGCCACACCTGGCTGGGCTATTGTACAGCTTTTTAATCTTCTTTTTCTCCTTTGGCCTTCTTTTGAATTGTTTTGTTGTTGTTTTTTAACTTTTTTTCTCTCAGTTTGGGAGATGTATACTCTACTCCTATACTTTTATTGGTTTCCCTAGAAATTATAACACATACAAGTCACTAATTTTGTCTAATATTAGTTCCTGTATTGGCTCTCTTTTTGAACCATATAAGGATTTCAGAGTATTTGTTTTTAGCATCAGAGTTTGTTTAGGTTCTTCATTCCCCTTTTTTTCCCTTTAAATGTCAGATCTTTCACTTGGATCACTCCCTTCTTGCCTGAGGTGTGTCCTTCATAATCCCTTCGGCGAGGGCCTGCTGGTAACAGGCTCAGGGCCTTGTAGCTCTGCACATACCTTTCTGTCCTCATTCTGTAAATGTGCTTTTACTTGATGACAGTTATTTCCTCCCAGCGCGTTGAGGGCATCATTCTGCTGTCCTCTGGCTTCCATTGTTGCTATTGAGAAGTCAGCTGTAAGTCTGCCTAAGCTCTTGGAAAGTAATGTGACTTCTCTCTGGCAGCTTTTAAACTCTTCATCTTTTGGGGTTTTGTTTGTTTGTTTGTATTTTGTAGTTTCACTGTGATGTATATGGATGTGGATTTCCTATGTTTTCCTGCTTGGAATTTGTTTGGCTTCAGTCTGTAGGTTGATGTTATTCTCAACCCTTAACCTTAAAATATTGCCTCTGCCCCATTTTCTCTCCTTTCAGAAGGCTAATTAGACATGTGTTATGCCTCTTGCTCTGTCCTCTGTCTCTTAACCTCTCTTTTATATATTTCATCTCTTTGGCTCTCTGTGCCACATTTCAGATAATTTTTCAGATCTATGGTCCAGACACAAATTGTCTCTTTTTAAAAATCTCTCTTCAGCTGTGCTTAATCTTCTCTTAAATCTCTGTATTAAGTTTTATAGTTCAGTTGTTGATTTTTCAGTTTCAGGAAGTCTATTTGATTTTTTAAAAATTGTCCCATTTTTTAAATAATTGGGTTATCTGCCCCTAGCAGTTCTGTGCCAGGGAGGAGGCACTTCCCTCTTCTTGAACTGCATTGAGAAATGTGGGTCCTCTTATTTCCTCTGATAGAAATGATCTCTCAGCTTAGCTACTGAATATGCTGATATTTTTTCACTGATTTGTGAAATTAGCATAAGAGAATTTAATTCATGTTATGTTGTATTATACAATGTCAGAAAATAAACTTATTTATTCAATACAGTTTACTATTCAGATAAGCATTCTGGTGGGTATTGATCAAAGTCACGTAAACCATCAATACCTAAACCTGGCTGGATATCAGAATCAGTAAGGAGCTTTATAGAAACACCGTTTGCTATGCCACACTTCTGCCAGCTAAGAGTCCCTGGGGGGGTGGGCCCTAAATACCAATGTGTTCGTGTAAAGCTGCCCAGATGACACCCATGATCAGCCAGGTTCAGGAGCCATTGCAGTAAATGGGAGATTATCATAAACAACAGAAGGCAAGAAATGGTGGGAAAGAAATGCAGAGACCACAGAGAAGAGGTGAAGTCAGTGTCCATCTGATGAGTAGCAGAGGCTGGTTCCATGGGGACAGAACATGGCATGAGAGCGAGTGGGGAAGGGGCCTCCTTGCCTTTGGTAACGGCCATACCCTGGAGGCATTGAGAGGCTGGGCAGGTGGTCCCTCCTGTCACACAGAAAGCTGGCAGAATAATGGAGAGAAATCCCTTCATAACAGAATGATCCCAAGTACTGGGGTAAGGACAAGAAATGTGCGTGTCCAACAGGGAAGAGTTGTTCATGTAAAGATTGCTTTTAGGTGCTTTCTCACATTTACTACTATTATGAAACATGGAACTTTTTTCTACTATAAAACTCAAAATTCAGGATATTTATTTTCTATCTAACCATTTTGCTGAAGTCTTAAGTCATTTTCATGATCTTTTAAATAATTTCTTGACTTCTGAAGTTGAGAGTCGTATCAGCTCCTCCCTGTAATTGTGCCTGTTGTCTCTGTTTCATATTCTTACATGTTGGCCAGAACTACCAGAGTCATATCCTCCAGTAGATAAGGGCGGGCATGCTTTTTGCTGTCCTTATTTTACTGAGAATGTCTTGTTCTCAAATCATGTTCGAGAGCTATCTTTACTAACCTTTTCAGGACACACCTGTCCTTAAAGTTCCTAGTGACTGTACAAATGAAAATATGGATGTTAAAAATTCATCTAAAGGGAAAAAGAAATAACTGCCTTCTTTTTTCCACAGGTCCCTGGGGGTGACGCTTTGGGAGCTTTTTGATAATGCTGCTCAGCCGTATTCCAGCCTTTCCAACTTAGATGTTCTTAACCAGGTCATTCGAGAGAGAGAGACGAAGCTCCCCAAGCCCCAGCTGGAGCAGCCGTATTCCGACAGATGGTTAGTGCTTCCTGTGTCCATGGGTGATAGATAGTCCCTGTTTTTAAACAATAAATGTTATACTTTCCATTTGTATATTGTTCATGACTTTTTAAAAAATTAAGGTATGTTTTTATAATTTAACGTTATCTTTGAAAAATGTATAGAGCAAGCAGGAATTTTTGTATTATGCCCAATAAAAAATGTGGTCAGAACTCATTAAAAATGTCAACAATAAGGGAGTTTGCTATTGTGGAATTGTTTTCAAATGAGGCTCTTTATATAAGGGATATCTAATATGTGAGAAAAATAATAGCATAAAAATGATAACATTTAAATTGACAATTGAAACTAATTTGCATAATGTATGTTTATATTTGCAAAACAAACTTCTTATGAGTCTTTGGACCCCTTCTTACTCCATTTACAATTAGGATCCGGCTCACCTCTCTTTAGGCCTCTGCCTACCCCCCTGCATGCCTGGCTGGCATCGCCCCTGGAGCTGGGCACCCCTGCCTGTGAGCAGTACTCAGTTTCCCAGGTTGCTAGAACCTTTGCACCAGAATAACTCAGCATGTACGCTGTAAGTTTACTACTGAAGTTGTCTGTGTCTTCCACCTGTGCGTGGCTACAGTCGGTTGTAGTCAGCCAGCCCTTGGTAGACCCAGCTCCTAGTTGGCACCTCCTTTGAGCTTCATTCTCTCTTTTCCCTCCACCCTCAGCTCCTTTTATGATCTACGGAAACCATGTGCCAAGGAAGATTGTAGTGTAACTGTTTGTCAGGGGAGTAGATAGAGATTAGTTACAACAGTATTTGTCCGTGTAAATTCTCGCAAAATAAAGTGAGTAAATTTACAAACACAAAGCAAGCACATCCTTCCCTCACCAAGTGCCTATAGCAGTTGTTTTACAAGGACAGCATGTTAAAACTATTCTTTCTGAAGTCAGCGGGTAAGTCCCTGGTTAAACACCAGAGGAAAAAATGACAAGGCAAAAGAACAGCAGTGATCCTGTGAAGTGTCCTGAGAACACAAAAGTTAGTGGCCAAGTTTATTATTTCTTCATTTTCTCTTTCATCCTGGTCTCACCAGGACTGAACGCCTTCATGTGGTCATCAGTGATGAGAGTGTAGAGACTTCTGGGGTGTTGAATTGGCTTAGGGGTTCTTGTAAAGCCTTTTCTTTTAAAAACAATTTACTATCAGTCCATTAACTGCCTCTTCTGTGTCCCTCAGGTATGAAGTTTTACAGTTCTGTTGGTTGCCACCAGACAAGAGACCGGCGGCCGAGGACGTGCACAGACTGCTCACCTACCTGCGCATGCAGAGCCAGAGGGACCCGGAGGTTGACTTTGAGCAGCAGTGGAATGCTCTCAAACCTAACACAAATAGCAGAGACACTTCCAGCAGCGCTGCCTTCCCAATCCTTGACCATTTTGCCAGAGACCGGCTTGGCCGTGAAATGGAGGAAGTCCTCACCGTGACGGAAACCAGCCAGGGCCTGAGCTTCGAGTACGTCTGGGAGGCCGCGAAGCAGGACCACTTTGATGAACGCAGCCGGGGCCCCCCGGGCGACGCCTTGTCCTACACGAGCATCTTCTTTCCAGTGGAAGTGTTTGAGAGTTCACTTTCAGATCCCGGGCCCGGGAGACCAGATGACAGTGCCCAGGACGTCCCTGTGAGAGCCCCCGGAGTGGTTCCCGTTTTTGATGCCCACAACCTTTCTGTTGGGAGTGACTATTACATCCAGTTAGAAGAAAAAAGTGGGAGCAACTTGGAGCTTGATTATCCAGCTGCACTGCTTACTACTGAGCTGGAGAAGCCAGAGAGGACGAGTGGCGAGGCGTCTCAGTTTCTGACACTCAGGAGCCTTGAGTTGGAGGAGTCCAGTACAGATGAGGATTTCTTCCAAAGCAGTGCAGACCCCAAAGATCCCAGCATCGCCGAGGACATGCATGCTACGAGGGGCCCCGAGAGCCCTTTCAACAGTATATTCAACGATCTTGACAAATCGGAGGGTCTGCCCAGTCACCAGAAGATATTTGACTTAATGGAACTAAATGGAGTTCAAGCTGACTTTAAGCCAGCCACTTTAAGTTCAAGTTTGGATGACCCCAAAGACTCAGTAATAACAGGCCACTTTGAGAAAGAAAAGCCCCATAAGCTTTTTGACTGTGAGCCTCTTTGCTTATCAGAAAACCTTAAGCAGCAGGATAATTTTGATCCACTGAATGTGCAAGAATTATCAGAAAACTTTTTATTTCTTCAAGAGAGAAACTTACTAAAAGACTCATTGTGTAGTGAAGAACATATAAACGATCTTCAAACAGAACTTAAAAATGCTGGTTTTACGGAAACTGTATTAGAAACTCCACATAGAAACGCTTTAGATACTGAGCTTAAGTTTGCTGAAAGCAAACCAGGCTTTTCTTTGTTGCGGGAAGACATGAGCTCGGAGGGTCAGGATCCTCGCGTTGTGTTCCAGGACCATGCTTTGAGCGCCTCATTACCATCTTCCCCGGAAGCGCAGGTACCTCCTGCCTCACTGGGAATAGAAGGCACACCTCACAGCGTGCTTCCAGATGCCCTCCCGAAGCAGGGAGAAGCCGCGCCCAGGCATTTAGGTGTCAGTATCCATGACAGCTGTTTCTGCCAAGAAGCCAAAGTAGACTCTGTGACTGTCCCAGTAGAAAGTCCCTCTGCTGATGCCAAAACACACAGCATGGGCCACGGGACCCACCACCTAACTCACCAATGTGAGGAGGCTTTGAGACGGACCCAGAGTGACTCCATGCTTGTTGATGATGTTTTTGCCAGCAAAGTGAGTATAGGGAGTGGTCTTCCCGAACTGAAACAGAACCTGCAGAATCAGCTGCTCTCAGAAGAGCATCCAGGTAACAGTCTACTGGAGGAAAACTCAGAAGCTGTGGAAACTTTGAATCAGCTTAGTGGTAAAGATGCTGCAGACGAGGGGGGCTTGGTGTCCGCCCTTTCCTCGGACTCTACCAGTCAGGACAGCCTTTTAGAAGACAGCTTGTCAACACCCATTCCAACTTCAGAGCAGTCGGTGGAGACCCCTGACTCTCTAGACTCTGTGGACGTCCATGAGTCTCTGTTGGGTTCTTTAGGCTCGCACACCCCTCAGAAACTCCTGCCCCCTGACAAGCCTGCAGACAGTGGCTATGAGACAGAGAACCTGGAGTCGCCTGAATGGACTTTGCACCCTGCCCCCGACGGTGCCTCAGCCTCAGGTGTGGCCACAGCAGGCAACAGCGGTCATGGCGAATTGCCTCCCAACCCTGTCATCATCATCTCAGATGCTGCTGATGGCCACAGAGGTACTGAAGTGACTTCACAGACCTGCGCAGCTGGCTCTCAGAGCTCATACCGAGACTCTGCCTACTTCTCAGATAATGATTCTGAACCTGATAAGAAGTCGGAGGGCGTCCAAGGAACCTCAGTGTCAGCCTTGGCCTTGGTAACGTATCAGCCCCTGCTGGAGCCAGTCATCCCAGAGCAGAGTCCTGGCACCAAGGACAGTGGCCCAGAAACCAAAAATAGCCAGCCAGACCAAAGTTGTCTGTCCGATTTGCAGAATTCCAGTCTCCTGGAGTCAAGAGGAACGCCACAACCAGCACTGACTGACGTCTCCAAAGAGCCGCATGCTCCTGAAGACGAGGCCAGCAGTCCCTCGAGTGTATTGAACTCGGAGCTGAGCAGCAGCGATGACTTCGAGACACAAGAAGAGCGCCCCTGCTCGATCGCCTCCACTGGGACGAACACCAACGAGCTCCTCGCGTTTGCCAGTTCCACCCTCTGCTCCGGTAGCCCATCCGACCTGTTGGGGGATCAGTCCTTCTCCAGCCACTTGGAGGGCCCCAAGCTGAAGGAGCCAGATATCGAGGGGAAGTACCTGGGGAAGCTTGGTGTGTCAGGGATGCTCGACCTCTCTGAGGATGGGATCGATGCCGACGAGGAAGATGGGAACAGCGACGACTCAGATGAGGACCTGCGGGCATTCAGCCTGCACAGCCTCAGCTCCGAGTCGGAGGACGAGACCGAGCACCCCGTCCCCATGATCCTCAGCAATGAGGACGGGAGGCACTTGCGGAGCCTGTTGAAACCCCCTGCTGCTGCTGCCGTTGACCAGCTACCGGATGACTGGAAAAAAGAAAAGAAAGCAGTGACCTTTTTTGATGACGTCACAGTCTATCTGTTTGACCAGGTATCTGTTACCTCCAAATTGTCACATTAAAGTACCATAAAATGTGGTAGGAAATTGAGTGTACTCTCTTTTCCTAATTCTCATTTTGAGGCCCCAGATTGCTTATTATTTTATTTTATTTTTTATTTTTATTTTATTTTATTTTATTTTTTATTTTATTCCTCACCTGAGGATATTTTTTCCATTGCTTTTCAAAGAGAGTGGGAAGGAGAGAGGGAGGGAGAGATATTAATATGAGAGATACACAATGATTGGTTGCCTCCCACAGGTGCCCGAACCAGGGCCAGGGATCAAGCCTACAACTGAGGTACATACCCATGCCCTTGGCCAGAATCGAACCCAGGACCCTTCAGTCCATGGGCCAACGTTCCAACCACTGAGCCAAACCAGCCAGGGCTGGATTGCTTTTTTTAAAAAAAGCCATTTGCAGTTGGTTGCCGTTACAATTCCAAGAATATGCAGAAATGTAGTTTGCACAGGGAACTCGTGTTAAATTAAGGAAGGACATCTGTGTGCTCTTCCAGGGTCTCCCAGCAGAGCCTGCTGAAGCTAGTTAACCCTTCACAGACCAGATTTTTATAATCCAACATGGGCAGTAATACCCCACACGCAGGTGCGAGCTGGGACAGTCGGGCTCGAGAGCAGCCCTGGAGATGCCACCCATCCATCGCCAGTGCCTGTGGGGCCACAACAGGGTCTGCAGCCCTCTTGCCCTCCTCCCCGCTGTGGAGCAGGCAGCCCACTGTGCACCGTGCGAGGTGGGCTCAGACTTTGCCTTCTTTAAAAACGAACCAGCCTATAAATCAGCCTTTTTAAAAAAATATTCTTTGTTAACTAGTCTCTGTAGTCCTTGAATTTGCTTCTTGAATCAGCTGGATTGTATGGAGAGCTCAGTCACAGACAGGTCTGCGTGGGACCTCTTTGTGTTCCAGAAGGTGCAGGAGCTCTTGGCCCTTGTCTCCTTAAAGCCACCTGCCCACCCTTTGTATTAAGTACTTGGAACCAAGGCTACTGCGGCCTCTTGTTCAGCATGGTGTCTCTTGGGCTCTGCTCCTCAGGCTAGTTTTGTGTTTTCAAGAATGTCATATAAATGGGTTCACACAGCATATAACCTCTTGCAGCTGGCTTTTTTCTTTCAGCATGTGATTCTTTTGAGATCTATCCAAATTGCACAGATCCATCGGGCCTGCCTTTGTGTTGCTGGGTGGTATTGCAGGGTGTGGGTGTGCACAGATGTCTCAGCATTCACCCGCTGAAGGACAGAGTGGTTTTCCCACTTTGGGGCTATTACAGATAAAGCTCCTTCGAACAATTATGTGCAGGTGTTTGTGTGGACACAGGTTTTGGGGGGGATAAGCATCCAGGAGTGTGATTGCTAGGTTGAATGGTAAGTACATGTTTAGTTTCTTTAAGGAAATAAACTGTTTTCCACAGTGGCTGTACCATTTTGCATTCCCACCAGCAATGTGGGGGAGATTCGGTTTCTCTTTATCTTTGCCCATATTTGGTGTTGTCACTGCCTTTTAATTTTAGCTTCTTAACAGGTGTGAGTGATCTTCAGCCTTGATCTTCAGTTCATTTCCCTGTCTGCTGACCAGTGAGACTGCACGTCTCATTGTGCGTTTATTCCATGTGCTCATTTGCTATCTGTATGTCCTCTTCAGGGGAATGTTCTGTCTTTTGCCCATTTTCTACCTGGATTCTCTGTGTCTTGAGTTTTTCGAGTTTTTTATAGATCTGAGTCCTTTGTCAGATACATGGTTGGAAGTATTTCTCCCAGTCTATAGGTTGACTTTCACAGAGCAACCAACTGAGCCGCCCAGCCAGGCGGTGTTTTGTAGTTTTCAGCATACACACCCTCTACATGTGTGGTGTTTTTTTCAATCCTCATCTGAGGGCATTTTTTCCATTGCTTTTTCAGAGAGAGTGGAGGGGCAGGGGGGCAAGCACCTGGAGCGGGGCCGGGGATCTAGCCTGCAACTGAGGTACATGCCCTTGGGGGGAATCAAACTCGGGACCCTTCAGTCCAAGGGCTGACGCTCTAACCACTGAGCCAAACCGGCTAGGGCTCTACATGATTTGTTAGATTTATAACTAAATATTTCATTTCTTGAGGAGCTTTTATAAAAGGTAATTTAAAATTTTTGATTTTCATTTGTTCCTTGTCAGTATATAGAAATGTGATTGTTTTTTTTTATTTTGACCTTGTGTCCTGCTCTGCTGACTCATTTGTTCTAGGTTTTTTAGTTTTAGTTTTAGTTTTTGATTTTCAAGTTCCTTAATAGTTTTCTACACAGTCAGTTATGTTGTCTGTATGCAGATAGGGACAGATTTATTTCTCCCTTTCCAATCTGTGTGTCTTTTATTTCTTTTTCTTACCGCATTGTACTAGCTAGTACTTCCAATAAAATGTCTAATAGGAGTGGTGAGAGGAGTTATCCTGGCTTTGAACCTGATCTTAGGAGAAAAGCAGTCGGTCTTTGACCATTGTGATACAGGTTTTTTGTAGATGCCGTTTATCTAAGAAGGTTCTCTTCTCATCTTCGTTTGAGAGAGTTTTTATCCTAAATGGATGTTGAATTTTGTCAAATGCATTGTACACACCAGGTGCATAGGAACTTGTGGTTCTTTGTTGCTATGGTAACATGGTGGATTACACTGGTTTTCCAACCTCGAATCAGCCTTGGCCTTCCTGGAATGAAGCCCACTGGCTGTGAAGTTTTACTCTTGTTAGATGGTGCTGGGTGTGGTTTGCTGGGATGTTGAGGACTTTTGTGCCTGTGTCCATGAGGTATATTGGTGTGTAGTTTGGGGGATGTTTGTTTACTTGTTTGGCTGATTGGAGTGTTGTTTTTGGCATGGTCTTTGGTTTTGGTGTCAAGGTAATGCTGGCTCATCACAGAGGTTGGGGAGAATTTCTTCTTTCTAGCAGAGATTGTGTAGATTCATTGATGGTTTTGAAGAACTGCTTTTGATTTCATGGAGAGTTTTTTCTTTTCTTTTTTTAAATTTTATTGATTTCTGCTTTATCATTTCTTTCTTTCTAATTGCTTTGGATTTATTTTGCTCTTCTTTTTCTAGACACTTAGGATTTAAGACCTTTCTTCTTTCTAATACTAGCATTTCATGTTATAAACTTCCCTCTCTGTGCTACTTTAGCTGCATCCCACAAGTTTTAATGTTATATTTTCATTCATTTCAAAATATTTTCTAATTTTCTTCAAGGCTTCCTCTTTCACCAGTAGATTATTTTTAAATACATTAGTTTTCAAGCCTTTTGTGGGTTGGGAATTCCCCTTTCATAGTTCTTGCTGTACTGTTTGAACTCAGCACAGTGTGAAATGCAGAGTGGGCCTGAGGTACAGAGAGAGCTCCAGGAGCTCTTGGGTTCTGGTTCTAGAAGCAGCAGGAGGGGGGCTTCTGACACCCAGAAAGGGGAGAAGAAATTCCTTTTTATTCCCTTTCTCTTGCTCCTAGCCCCAAACAATCCCAGGGTGGCAGCAATAGGGTGGCAGGTGCCTGTGATTGTGTCAGGGGTGAATGTCCTCTCTCCCCCAGAGGGGTTGTGATCCCGAGAGGTTGAGGAGAACCCTCGATGCTTTGTTACCTCTGTGCTCCCGCTGCAGAGCTGCAGAAAGTGTGTAGTAGCATTGTGGGGTGACAAAAGTCCCAGCTTTCTGGCCGGAGGACCACAGCAGGAAGGCCCAAGACATCAGATAGTGCCATGGACACCACAGAGAGTGAGGAGCTCAGAAAAGCAACCCCATAAAGTCATTTCTGAGCTCCCAGCTTGCCTTCAAGGTGTGCATGGCAGATCTGACCCGAAATAGCACACCAAAGCCTTGAGACCTGAGCTGTCTGGGGACCACCGCCCCAAGGTCCAGTCTGGCCAGAGGGTGGCACGTGCACAGGACAGGCTCAGGAGTCCAGGCCAGGAGCTGTGGTTGTGGGTGGTGGCAGATTCAGTGCTGATTTGGTGCCTTTAAATTCCGGACTTTCTTCCCCAGCGTCTGGCCTGCTACTGTTGACTCCTCAGAGGCCCCAGGTAGCTGCTTCATGCCTTGTACCCGGGCCTTAGAGCTGTGGTCTGTGGGAGAGACAGGGCTGTGTGTTCCTCGCCCACCTCCAAGGACCAGAACCCACCTGCTTTAAGATGAGCATTTCACAGCGGTCAGTCAGACACACTGCGGCCTGTGATGCATACACCGGTGGCTCCTGGGGGCAGGCATGTGCTGACAGGCTTTTCACTTGGCTTTTCAGGAGACCCCAACCAAAGAGCTGGGACACTGTGGAGCAGAAGCGCATGGCCCCGAGGGGAGCAGCCCAGCACCGTCATCAGGTTCCCCCTACCTGAGCAGGTGCATAAATTCCGAAAGTTCAACCGATGAAGAAGGTATTTTCACTTCACAGATGGGTTTAAAAAGAAACTAAAAGAGTGCCTTGTGAATGTAAACTTTTGAGGATAACTTCACTGTTGCTTTAAATGACCCCTGTGACACACAGGGAGCAGCTCCGCCATCTGTCCGGCTGAGCGGTGTTTGCTGATCTGCAGAGTGCACCTGTGTGTTTGCTCTGTTCTTTATCTGAACTGATCACAGGGGAACCAGCTCTTGTTTTGTACTTGTAGGTGGAGGCTTTGAATGGGATGACGACTTCTCCCCAGACCCTTTTATGTCAAAGACAACGAGTAACCTTCTTAGTTCCAAGCCGGCTCTGCAAACTTCAAAGTACTTTTCTCCACCGCCGCCGCCCCGGAGCGCGGAGCAGGGCTGGCCCCACACGGCACCATACTCCAGGTTCTCCATCTCTCCCGCCAATATCGCCAGCTTTTCTCTCACACATCTTACCGACTCGGACATCGAGCCAGGAGGTGAGGGGGCTGCTGGGCTGGGGGTGGCTTGGGAGACCCGTCCCCCTGGACTTGAATGCATGTTAATCTGCCGCTTTCCTGGCTGGGTAGGTTATAAGCAGTTCTTTATAAAACTCTCGCCGTCTTGACAGTGTACTCTCAGGGCCAGTGTCACTCCACGAGCTCAGTACTACTTGCAGGTGTCTCCTCGCTGCTCCCAAAGGGGCTGGCTGGGCAAAGGCAGGACTTGTCCTTGAGTGTGGGCCACCTCTCCTTCCTTTTCTGCTTTTGCTACTAGCCCCCCCAGCCCCTTTTCCAGTTCTTCTCTCCTGGAAGCAGCTCTTCAGAAAGCTGTGCTCTTTGAACACTTGGCTCTGGTTTGGGGATGGAGCCCAAATTCTCCCTGGTTTTTCCCAGGAATGTTGATTTTGCCATTAAGTCTTGGTCCTCGTGCGATGCCAGAGGCCAGGGTGGGAAGTTGCGGGCAGGGCACATTTGAAGTCGTGTTATCTGGACATATGGGCCCTTTTTTCTCCATAACTAGATTGGAAGATAAATGTTAAGAGGTACATTTTTTATTTGAAGTTTGCAGATCAAATAATAACTAGGAAATATAAAGAGCTTTTTGTTTGTGTTTGTGCTGTGCTTAATTGTGCTGATTAGATAATGCGCATGACCTAACGCTCTGTCAGAGGGGCAGATGTGTGCCGATCGGAGCTGATTTTCCCCTGTGCCCTAAGCCTTGACATTGACCCGGCGTGGGAGCCCAGCAGATGTGTGTGCACGTCTGGCACGGGCTGCTGCTCTGGGAAGAACGCACAGGGCTCAGCAGGTGGTGGGTGTCCACACTCGCAGCTTCGGTTCCTTTTTCAGATCAGATGCTACCCAGACTATTTTTATCTATGATGATCACTTTAAAAACCCAGCTTTGCTTGCTCTCTCCTATATAGGAAGCAGTGAAGATGGAGAAAAAGACTAGATGGATGCTGATGCACCCTCAGGTCCCAGGCCGCTTCTCCGGGGCGGCAGTCCTGTTCTGCCAGCCGAGCCACGCCATCCACGCGACATCTGCTGAGACGGGACAGGGAGAGAGACTCAGGAGGCGGAGAGGGAGCCAGTGCTGGGCCCCATGCCTGGTGCCCACAGCAGGAAGCCTGTCTGGGGAGCCGCGGTCCTGTCCAGTGCGGTGTGCTGCCCTGGCAGCTGCGTGTCTGCAGCCGCTCTCACCTGCGAAACACTCAGGCTCTGGCCATCCTTGGGGAGGGCCAGTCCTGCTCGGGTGCGTGGTGAACTGTGGGCTCCCGGTTGTTTCTGGTTTCCACACGGGGTGTTCTCTGTGTCTACACCTGTGCATCCCGTCTGCGCACAGGGGCTCAGAGGATGCATGGTGGGACTTGGCACCAGTGAGCCATATTTATTATTTTTAAAGAAATCACTAACTGCTTTCTGTAATTGCACTGTGGGTAAATGTTCTAAGAGTCCCGGATATTGTACAGAATATTAAATTATTCAAGGAAAATTAGGCAGGTCAAGCTGGTGCTACCCACTAGTTTGATTTTTTTTTTCTGTTTTATAGTTTGTTTGCTCTGCATGGTACTTGTAAAGCTTAAATATTTTGAGTGTTATGCAGTCCTTAGCACTGTTGGAATTGTACATATGGTACTCTTTCGTAAACGATAAATGATTCCGAATGTTAGTGTTTCATGTCTTTATAGGAAATATTTTTGATGAGTCCCAAAAGACTGCTCTTTTGTCGATTGACTGAAGCCCATGTCATCTCTTCTCTATGGGGTGGTTCCCTGTAGCAGATGGGGCTCCTCTGAGGAGCTGAGGGCCTTGCAGCCTCTCTGTGTGTTTCTCCCACGCTACCCCTCCCCCCCCGAGTTTTTAAACCCTTTTGGTAAAAATCAACAGGTGGTGCACCCCAGATCTCAGTGCTGGTTAGACTGTGCAGGTCCCCAGAGGCACTTCCCCTCCCAGCTGCAACACCATCCACTCGACATCTTGATTTTTAGAAGCGCAGGCTGCTGCGGCTTCAGTGTCCTTGGAGCGCCTTCCTCAGAAAGGCGGGGAACCCGAGGGAGGGGCTGCGCCACCGAGGGCTCTGAGGGAGCAGTTGGATGGATTCTGTTGAGCTCTTAACCCCTGGAGCTGAACTTTGCCCTCCGAACCACTCCGAGTCCTGTCACATCCAGGTGTGGCTGGTGTCTGCAGCCGAGGAGATGCACTACATCCCACAACTGTGAGGACGGAGGGACAAGGGACAGTGGCAGAGCCTCCTCAGCCGGCATGTTTTCCTGGGTGGAAGGTGGGCAGCCCTCTGTGCCCCCCCAGAGGCCACCCTGGGGCACACCTGCACTGACCCTCCCCTCCGAATTAAGCACCAAGTTCTCCCCTTGCTTGGAAAGGTACTGAGCGTATCCGGTGCAACCTCATAATGTGGGTGACCGCTTTTTGCGGTCCTTAGAGTCCTGCTTTGACACCGGGAAGTTCCCAGGCCTGGGGCAGCACAGCAGCACTGTGCTGGGGGAGGCTCGGCGTGCCTGTCCTGAGGCCAGGTCTGCAGTCCCCACAGGCTGGCCTTTCCCAGGGGTTCTCAGTGCTGATGTGCTTTCCTGACTCCAGCTCAGCCCTAGGCTGACTCTCCAGGCCCAGGTGGTGCCACATGATGTAAGTCACAGGACCTTGGTCCTGGGGTGAGGTCAAGTGTGCATACTAGCTAGAGTTTTGTAGTAAATGTTGGCCTTGATTACCAATTCTGGTTCACTCCACTACCTTTCTATACTAGCAATAACTTTCCAGAGCAAGGCCATTCAGAGCATGGAGCCCATGGGGTGGGGGGACTTTATGGGACCCCATGATGTGCACTTTGAAAAGTTAACAAGGCATTAGAAGGTGGTTTTGCCAAAATTGCCAAACTGAATTTCTTATTGTGGAAACTTCCTGAGCATTCTGAGTTTTTACATCTAACTACCAGCTTGGTTTAGAGAGAAATGAGGTGATTGCACTAGTTTTTTCAAAGTATAGGTTTAAGGGGTTCAGATGTAATGACCAAAGTTAAGCCGATCCATAGGCTTTGTATTGGTCTTACACAGTCAGCCAGGCTAACTTGGTATTTTGGGACGGTACATTTCTCACCATGATTAAGGAGATTTAACATAATTACCATTTTAAATTATTTCAAGTCTGTGTCATAATTAATTGCCAAAAAAGGCATTTTATACATTGAGTTGGGGGGGTTAGAGTAGATCTTACTGTGGGGTTGCATGGTGGGGAAGATTTTATATTTATAAGGAACACGTGCGTCAACATGTTCTGAATCTCAAGCAATACACAGGAAATAAATTATGTACATTAAAATTCTCAGCCCACTTTCAAAATGTCAGCATGTGCTCTGCCCTTTGATTCCAGGTTTCTTTTTACTCAGCTGTTCACGAGTGGTGGGTTTTCAGTGAAGTAAGTCAGTGGGTTCTCTAGGTAAACCAGGTGAGTGTGAGATGCCTGGCTTAGCATCTCCTGGCCGCCCTTGGAATCGACCAGGTTTTAATTAGTCCTACTTCGGTGGGGTTTACGGATTTTAAGTCCCATAATAAAAATCACCTGACCTTCATTTCCTTCCCAGCTCGATGTTAATATGTTATCAAACAGCTCTCTTGTAAGTCAGGAATGTAGAAGAAGTGTTCCCGAATCCTGAAACTCGGACTGTGGTCTGGGGAGGAAGCCATTCGTCTTTAGGGTGAAGCAGCTCAGCAAATCTGAGTGAAAACATTCTGTTTTTAAATGTTCAGGCAATTGTTTCTATAGAAATGGGTTTATCGAAGACAAGTTTTGTGTGTCTTGCTGCCATAAAACCCCTTTAAAAACCTCTCTCAGTATTATTTCCATAGGACGTTTGTAGGGTTAATGACTTGCCGCATGTTTGTCCAGATGGCCCAGGTGTGAGGGAGGTGGCACCTCCTGGTTTTACTTGACTCCACTGGTCATCTGAAAATTCTGGAAGTGAACCCCGGATTAGGCTCCAAATGCTGGGCTTTGGGGACGGGCTTCAAGACATGAGCCTATGAGAAGTAGCCTGAGAATAAGAATGTGGCGCAGTTACTTCAGACCTGAATCTCAGAAACACACTCCTAAATTGCGATGGGGTTGGCTCAGGTTTTGACCCATTAAAAAAGAAAGTTCTCTTTAGCGTAGAAATTCTTAAGGATGTGTTGACAGTATTGATTACCAGCAACCTGTGTGAATGGCTTGGACACGTCTGGATAGGTCTCAGTGGGCCTGCGCACCCCCTGTTTAATCCCATCCGCAGAGGACCCGAGGGGCAGGCACGGCTGTGAGGTGTCCCGGGTGCACTCTAGCAGTTACATTCACGGCGATGTAACAGGTAATGAACTCTCAGTTTAAATTGTGTACATTTTTAAATTGTAAGATTTTTACTGTATATTGATGCATAGTGTGATTCAATAAATTGCTTGTAATTTAAAAACTATTTAATATTCAAAATAAATATAGTTATATATTTATAAACTCTGTTGCGTTTATTTCATGTTTTTAACCTGAAGGCCCCTGGTGGGTGGCTTGGCACTGCCCTGGTTTCCAGATGCCCTTTTCCCTGACAGACCTAAATCCCCAGGCGGTGGAGAACACGCGGCTTGTAGTCACTGGGAACTAAACTTGTGTAGTGATCAAAGTGTGTCTGTCACCCGAAGCCTTTGCACTTGGTGCGTTTCAGAGCATTTTAATTCCTGAGGTCCAGCATCAAATGAGCTCTAAGCCAAGAGGCTCATCTGCTCAAAACCAGCCTTTCTAATGCCCGGAGTGGACCTCACCCCCAGCCCTGGCCTTGCTCTCCTGGCCCCAGCTGCCAAGAGCACCCTACCGGGCTCTTGCCAAACTGCCTACGCCTGGCCCCAGCCCAGGTTACAGGAGCTTTCAACGGCGCCCGGCACGGGCAGCGGGCACCAGCGCTGACCCTGGTCTTGCGGCCCCGCGGGGGCTCATTGCTCTCCAGGCGCATCCTGCTGCCCAGAGAACCCCTGGGCCAGGTGCTTTAACACCTTGAAATGCGCCTGTAACCGGCGAGGAAACAGGCGGGGTGCGAGGAAAGCGCGGGTGTGGCGGAGCCGGGTTTGAGCCCAAGCTGTCTGCCTGCTGCCCCTGGAGACCTAAAACCATGACCCGTCATTACCCCGGCGACTTGCAGGCAGGCGGCCACCCAGGCGCTCCGAGGGGCAGGGCTCCGCCCACTGGCACCTGGGCCGGCGCAGGGGGGGCCCGGGGCCCCCAGGTGCTGCTGCGTTCGCAGGAACGTGGGCTGCGGTTCTTCGGGGACGTGGCCGCTGTCTGGTTAAGAAACTAGAATTATTAAAAACAGCTTTTCCTCGAGCTGCCCCGGCCGGCTCGGCGTCTGAGCCTGGACCGCAGGGTC